TAATGTGGCTTAAAATACACTCTATTATCAGAATTTGTTCTGCACCCTAAGACGTACACTGTTTCACACAAACGACACGATGAATGATTAATGGTGTGTATTTGTGAAGCACATTTAATGCTAGGCTCTGTCAAATAGTTAAATATCAAGTCTCAATTCAAACGAACTGACAGTTGCAGCAGTTCAGCAGTTCCCTGATAAATGAGCCAGGCTCACTTCCTGTCTTCTTGTCTTATCTCGGCTCGGCGTTCCGCTCTGTGTCCACATGTTCCTCTTCTGTGCACTGTAGTTAATCAGGATGAAGTATTGTCTGATGGTAAAGACAGGTCGGGTTTCTCTCAGCTCAGTGACTCTCTCTCTCTCTCTCTCTCTCTCCTGGTGTCCAGAGGGGTTCCAGTCGTGGATGTGGAGAGGTTTGACCTTCCTCCTCCCCTTCCTGTTCTTATGTCACGTGAGTAGTTTCTCACTTAATAGTGCTCAAAAGGAATTTGTCATTTCTGCACTGAAGAATAAAAAATAACAAAATTCAGTTAGTAATAATTAAAAGATAATAAGAAAAGTAATTGTTGCCTGTTCCTCCTCTTCCAGTTCTGGCAGCTTTACAACAGCATCACACTCTTCAAGATGTCCCAGCTCCCGGAGTGTAAAGAGTGGCAGGTTTGTTCTTATTTTAAACATGTACTCATTTAATGTGTCGTCATGTGTTCAAATCAATCGCCTCTACAGTGGAGAGATAATTATTGTAAAGCTTCACTCCACAACTTTCCTCGAATTTGACGAGATCATGTCGGCAACCATCTTAAAATGGCCGAAAAGTACTTTTAAAGACATTTGTTTTGTAGTTTTAACTTTTTATCTGGATGTAGTGTAAAGTACATCAACCTGTTTAAAGTATTAATAACGTAATACGTGTAATACCTCACAGTACTTTGTGTATTTAGAGTCCTGTGTGTTGTTAAAATCCTCTGAGCTTGTTTGTTTGTGTATTTGTTTCCGTGGTGCAGGTGGTGATGTGCGGCTGCACTTACATGGTACTCTTCATGGGGAACTTCTTCACCACGCTGGGAGTGGTTTACCAGAAATACATGAACAACCAGGACAAGTCTAAGACCTTATAAAACTGGAATGATCCGACACTGAGGCTCTAATATTGTCTTTAGAGCTCGATGTGCATTGTCTGTGTGGACCACGTACACGCACTGCTTCTCAACCATAGACGTTATTTAAGGCGTAATACCAAAGAAAAGGGTTGTTTTTGTAGCTTTGTCAGTTTTGGTCAGAGGAAGTGTTACTGATAAATTATAAGATCCCTCCAATATTGATTTTTGGGGGCCGACGTCAATTTGAATATTAGGCAATAATAATACATTTCTGATAACGATATATCTGCTGATGTATTTTTTTAAAATTGAAAAATAGCAATGTTCCGTAAGATGTTGATGTTTTGTTATGACAAATTATTGTTTTAAAGATTAAACTTTATTATAAATAACTGTACATTAAAAAACACACATGCAACCAAATATAAGAGACTTGAGTTAAGAAAATAAACATATTTTTTTACATAAATTGTAAAAACATATTGTCTTACACTGTAAACTAAAAGTTTACATGTCAGCAACAAACATACTGATCTGTGAACAGCTCATGTCAGTCGTATGACTCATATAAGCTCATATTTGCATCATATTTATTTGGGGAAAGTTTGTGTCTCAGCAGCTGCTTTAATAAAACACTTCTTCAAATCTGCCCGTGTTCTTGTTTTCTGTCTCTGACAGCAGGAAACGTTATGTTCCTGCTGTAAGGAACAAAACGTTCCATCACATTTCTATTTCTGTCACTGCGGCGTTCAGTGTCCGACGTGTTGTCGAGTGTTTACAACATAAACACAAGTTTGTAAAAACGGAAGAAGACGTTCACAGACCTTTAAAAAAAAACAAAGACTGGTGACCGAATCTCTTTAAATTTAAAAATCTGAATCTAATCTGAACAGTCTGAAAGTATCTGGAGCGTTAAGGTTCTTGTTGCATTACATCTAAATGACCACAAGGTGAAAGCATTGCATTTCATTAGCTGTCAGTTAAATTCTGGTCCATCTCCATGTGAAATTGCATTGAGGAGATTTCATCCATGAAAACTTAAAAATCTTTTCTTTATTTTTAGAATAAAAAAAACCATCAGACTGTTTTTTTTTCTTTGTGTAAAGTCGTGTTTCACTGGGAGTCCGGGACACGATTCTCCAGATGGATCACATCTCATGAGGGTGATTACAGTCGGCCATCTGCTGCTGCACGTCTCTGAGTGATGAGGAGCTGCTGAATTATATTCTTCACATTTCATCATCTTAAATAATTTCACTGAGTGAGAGTAACTCATCAGTGAGAGGTTCAGAGTCATTGTTGAACTGTTATCAGGCCTCAATGGGAGCGGAGGAGACTCGAGGGCCACATCCACAGTTTTAATACCAATCTGGGCTCTTTTTGAATTTATTACACTCAGTCGACTGTAACAGATGGAAAACACAGTTACAGGTTGATGCCAAACTCAGTTTATTCTTATTTACAACCTCCAACAAACCCTCTATAAATAGATTAGATTATTTATGATTATTGTTTAATACAATACAGTCAGTTCAATTCAGTTCCCTGCTCCACTGGTGCATCCACTGTGTATCAATCCACCACTGAAAGTAGTCCCACATCATTTCTCTGTGGTGGTCACACCCTCACCTTTGCCTGAAGAGGAAGATGTGGCTGAAACAGGGAGAATAAAAGAAGGAAAGAAAGGATTTTTTAAGTTTTCATCCATCCATCATCTATAGCGCTTATTGTTTGACATTTATGACATTAAATCAAGAGTTTCATGTTCATTATTGTAACGAGGACTGGTCATAATATGGAAATGGCTGAGACAGAAACACACACATACTGTACATACACATATACACACAGAGAATTAAATAATAGAAAAAACACAAAATAGACAAAAAAGAAAAACAACAGACGACACAATAATGTGCGTGAGCAAATATCTATTCTCCAGATGAACCTGTGGAAACGTGTAAGTATGAAACAGTAATAGAAATGTGAATATCTGTGTACAATTGTCGCTGCGCACTTTTAGAAAAGAAGAATGGAGGCTGAAAAGATTTCAATAAAGCTTCACATTATGATTTAAACATTTCTGCAGCCGGGTGCCAGGACACAAAGAGGGATGGAAAGAAAATTTGCACAAAAGATCAGAGGGAATAATACCTGAAAAATTTAAAATGGAAACCAGCCTCACTTCCAATTTATTACAGTAGAGCCTCCCCCACCTCCTCCCCCACCCACCCCTGCAAAAAGTCTTGGATGAGTTAGTGCTGGAGGGCCAGAGGGAGAGAGAGAGAGAGAGAGAGAGAGAGAGAGAAAGAGGCAAGCGGGACGAAGAAGAGGGAAGAGGAGGGCCGGGTATTCTCCCAGCCTGCACCTCTTTCATCTTTCTCATTAAAGCCAGAGCAGTGGGGGCCGTCAAGAATGAGCCCAAGGACATGGGGATTGGGGAGCGAGCCTGAGCCTCGCATCAGGAGGTGGAGAAGGAGAGAGGAGAGCAGCCAGAGCGAGCAGACGAGGCACCCCGTCAGACCTTCACCTCAGAACTTAACCCGCCTCCCCTCTGGGAGGCAGATAAAGACCTGTTATCTGTGCTCACCTTCTCTCCCAGGCCTGGGAACAAGTGGAGCAGCAGCAAGTCAGGAGGAGGAAGAGGCTGGGGGAGGAAGGATGGGAGGTGGGGGAGTCTCTGGTTGAGTAGGTATACGAAATACAGCGAGCTCTCCCTCAGAGCAGAGAGCGTGTGTGGAAAAGCAGAGCAGTGCTGATGAGTTTCCATCTGGGACGGAGTGATTAAAAGAGGGGAAGTGGTTCCTGAGAGAAGAGGTGATTCTGAAGAAAGAGGCAGAACCAGGAGCAGTGATGGCGACAAGTCGTCTGATTCATGCAGCTGATCATTCAGATGTTTTCATCCCAGGGCCTCGAAGTGTTTGTTTTTTTTTTTACAGATAATATGATTTGTATTATTTATGAGGAAGAATTAAATGTCTGGGTGTTTGTCATTATGATGTAAAACTTCATATGTCAAATAAAATCTAAAATAATTAAGGTTGAATTAGTTTTTTTTGGTCACAAGCGGCAATCAACTGATACCAGATTCTGATAAAGCACCTTAAGTCTTCATAAGCTGTAATTAAAGGGATTTATTAGACGATTGTTGAAATATGTTTTAACATTAGCATTTAGAAACGCATATTTATTAAGGTTTAACCGGTTGTTATCTCTTGCACAGCTTCTGAAAAGCATTTGATGAAGAGATAACAACACAGTGAATGTAAAATGGTGTTAAAGCTGTTTTCAGTTATTAATCTTTTCCTGTTTAAATAAATAGAGAAAGCCCATGCCATTGGCAAGGCCCAATAAATCCACTTCAAATTCAAACTTCCCTGAGAAAATAGTGAAAATGTCGAGGAAACAAATGCAACGCCCCCTTTTCTGCAGAAATCCCAACCAACCAACAAACACACCAGAGGACAACTGCTACAACATCAGCAGTGACCACTTCATACTGACAGACACTTTACTTATATTAGTACAATCCTTCTTTATAGCTGCGTGCGTTCATTAGTTCAGTCCCTCCTGACTCCGCTCGCTCTCAGTCAGCCATCAATCCTGGCCCATGTCCTGCCTGGCTCTCCGTGGACGAGCGAGGGCGTCACAATCCAGACCAGCAACAACCAGTCAGTGAGATTTACTAATCATCCTTCAGGATGCATGCTCATGGATTATATATGCAAACAAGGGGGAAGTGAAATACACAATATCACTTAAGTAAATGATTCAACAAAATAATGGTCGTCCACGAAACGCACTTGACAAAATAATAAAAAATATGCTCCGTGCTCTCGCTGCTCTGAGGTTCGGATCTTTCTCCTCCTCGTTAGCAAATGACGACTCCTTCACTCCTGAAAAATGAAGTGAGAGTCAAATTAAATGTGCATATTTAATAAGAGGGGGAACATGATTACATCCACTTGTAAAAACGAGAGCATGAGCGATGAAGAGCGAGGCAGAGGGGTTTTCACGGCCTGCAGAGTGGGAGAGAAAAAAGAGAATTCATCTTTATTTTAACGTGGCTCTTTGGGAGTAACCGGAGCAGGACTCCCCCACCACCCCCACCCCCACCCCCTGCTCTGCAGAGCTGATTGCACACACTCTGTCTTTCTGGGGGTTTGGACCACAGGTTCCCATAGCAACCACAGACAGCAGACAGTCAGGAGTAGATGTTCTTGCCATGCGCCTGAACATTTTTTTTTTTTTTTTTGGAAACACCAAACAGATTTTGGGAACAAGTTGCCTTTAGCTGTTTGAAATATTTCAGGCTGGAGTCAGACCCTTCAGTCCAACTGATGAAAACTCAGTCGTTTGCATCGTAGATATATCGTCCTGCTTTCATGAAAGATTAACAATCTTCAATTAAAAACACCGGTTTGGTAAATGGTCATGGAATAACACCCACAAAGATTTTAAAATGAGAAAATGTTCTGACTTTTTAATTCCTCGTTGATATAAAGACCAGGACATCATCTGATTCTAATGTGGACCAATTTAAATCAACGATAAATCAGAATTCAGACAATTGAAAACACACCATACCTCTGATATATATTTATAATTATTATACCTACACCATAATACCATCATTGTCCTTGACCCACATATTGGAAACATTCAGCCCTGAGGGGCTAAAAGATGAACAATGAAGTGGGTCAATAGGTCCACTCCCACACACACTGTGGGCTCCTGTAAACCAGATGGCCAATTTATGTCTGAGCCAAGAGAAAATTAATCACATCACACTTTGTCCTCCGTCTGATTGAATACAATCACCCTGCAACTTGCAGAACAAACACCCTGCAGGCTCCTGCCGTGCACAGTCAGCGTGTTCACGGAACACACACGTCCACCGAGAGTCACCGGAGGAAACGAGTGCTCTGTCAGAGCAGCGGCACCAGGAACACACAGTTTGATGCACGTTTTTTAAAACAGGTACATGTCTAACTTCCAAATCAGAGCCAGAAACATTCTCTTTGCATTTGCACCATCAGTGTTGAAGTCGTGTGAAGTATGTTGGTAATGTGTTGACCCTCCGTGACCCTCCGGAGCAGATGGAGTGAGATCCTCCGACGCTCTGAACTCTGATGGAGCAGGAACAAATACAGATACTCACACTACTTTGATAATGGAGGCGTCCTCAAGTGAACCGCAGCGTGTTTGGGAAATTTCTCCCTCTGAGTCCTGCAAGAAGGTCATGTTCTCACCACCGTCCCTTTGTCTGTTGGTTGGTTTGTTTGTTTGTCAGCAGGATTACACAAAAACTCCAGAACAGATTTCATGAAACTTGGTGGAAGGATGGGACTTGAACCAAGAAAAATATTTTTGTACGGATCAGGGCAAATGGGCAGATCCAGGATTTTCACTTTCTCAGGCGATTTGATATTTTCACCAATTTTTTCACCAATCAATTTTATTGGGGGGCTTTTATTTTAGTCTAAAGCAAAACAATGATTTGTAATAAAAACTCATCCTGAGGTCATGAATTGACGCTGCAGGTCAACAGTGAAGCTGGAGTCTATAACCGCAGCTTATTAAACATTTAATAAAAGATTTAATGGATGAATGGATCCGTTTCTTTCT